AAATCATGACCCTTGAATTGGATTTGAAATAAAATTACTTTTAAATCTATTTTTTTAAGCATGTGGAAATTAATGATAAGAAGAAAAAAAACTTCCCATCCAAACAAAAAAAAAAACAGAACGAATTTCCGAATTTTTTTTGCTAAGACGAAAAATGAAAAGTTAAAACAGAATTTCCCCCTAAAAAATCTATTAAGTACAACTTAATATGAACTTTTACTTTCTGTAGGTGCTTGGAAAACTGAAGTCCACACTCCTAATGCTGGAGTCCCAGCAACCGATGAAGAATCGTCAGGACGGTCAGGAGATCGTTGGATGCACGTCCTGGGGCGATGAAATTCCATTTATTTTCGAATTTATGCAATTATTATTTTTTTGATTCCATTAAACAGCTTCACTACTGCGTGAAATAAAACAAAACTTTGGAAATTATGAAAAAATTGTTGAATTTTTTTGGAATGATAAACCCCTTTTCATATTTTAATTGTTTGAATGATGATTTCATTGAAAGCTAGTTAAAAAACGTTCTGTTTTGTGGTGGGGATAATTCACTCAATGAATTATAAATATATAAATGTTCTTTAAAAGTTCATTAGAAGTAAAAACAGTACGATTTTATAAGAATTAGGTGCACGCGAACAGTCGAAAAATCGCTATAGTTTATTATTTCAATTTTAAACTCAGATTTTTCTTCTTTTTCGAGAATAAATCCCTTAGGTCACGAGCTCTCCTCACGTAGGCAATGTTCCTGGAGGTAACTTGCCTTGAACCGAATTGATTTCTCACAATCTTCATTACCTCACTTTTTGCTTTTTTGTTTTTCTTTTCTTTCTTCAACCGATTTGGCTCAGCGTGAGGTGTCCGACAGCTCAGCGAACGATTCTTTTATACCCCAAATAAAATCATTAACCCATTAATAGTTAAAAATGGGAGGATTTTTAACTTACAAAAAACGTAAATTATTTTTCAGTGTTTAATTCTTTTTTTTTAAGGAGAGATTGACGGTGGATTCAGGAGTGAAGTGGAGAGAGGCCAATTATTTCGATAACGAGGGATTCCAGGGGAAAATCTCATCTATATTTTTTGTCGAGAATTTTGTCAGCTAGGAAAAAGATAAATCAGATTTTCTCTTCGAACCACTCATTAACGAAATAATGACAATTGACAGAAAGCAAAAATTGTCTTGTCCAGGAATATGAAATGCCACTTCACAACTGAAGTAGAACGGTCACTAGTAAACGGCCCGTAAACCATAGAGTTGGCCTTAAACTATAGAATAGAATAGAATAGGTCACCGGTAAGAGTTCAGTTAAAAAAACTAGAAAAAATCTATTGAAAATAAATAGCACCGATGTTCATACGAATGGTAAGTTAATCTAGTGATTAATTATGAGAGAA